TAAAACGGAATCGCATAAAGGGATATTAATAATGAAAACGGGGGAATACTGAACTGTATTCGTTCGTGTCGTCTGAATTTACCGGAAAGGACGAGGGACGACAACTCTTATCCGCGAAATATTCGCATCTGATTCGAACGAGTCGAGTATCCGCAAACTCTGTTGCACAGGGATCCAAGAGAATTTGCATCCCGTGTTAAAATTTACCATCTGCGGAATACGTATTTCGTTTTTTATTCTACCATTGTTTTTCCCGCCACGCATTCACGATTATCGTTTGTTCCAACGATAACGAATCCCTGCTGCTTTTACGACGTTCTTCATCTCTCTCGATTTCTCTTTTCTCTTTTGTCGAGAAATTAATTCTGGGAATGCATTTTCGAGAATTCTCAATCGTGAATTTCTAGGAATTTCTAATAGAATCTCTGCAATTCGAATGGTGTGTATCAAAAATAAAGATATCGAAAATTGAAAAACTTCTTTTTCAAAAGTCATTACGATTGGAAAATTATTAATTCGTCGAAAATTTCGATAAATGTATCGTAATATAATTCTAAGAAATATCTAGTAAGATGTGGCCCCGAAAATTTGCCCATTATTAGCGGCAATTCGACCGAATTCGAGGGACGTTAAAAATTAATGAAGCATGAAATGAAATGTAAACGCAGTCTCCTGGTGATAACAGGGGTACAATCGTTGAAAACCTTTTCAGAACGGTCTCGCCTCTTCGAGAAACTTCATTGAAATAACAGTATCGGAACCGCAAATGGAAAGAGCGGAACAGAAAGAAGGGAAAAAGATTAAAATACAACTTTGTTGCCGCATTTCTTGCGAAAATATGACATTTTCCATTACACCGTGTCCAGATATTTCTGGATAACGTGGAAAGGCGTTTCCCATACGTTTAAAAATGGTTATTTTTACCTGTGAAATTTCTAATATTTTTAGCCTCGAAAATTCGCGGCCGAAGAAAAAAAAAATACAGTGGGTGTATCGAATAACTGTCTCATAAACGCGCGACCGAAATACCTGTATATTTGAAACTTTGTTAAAAGCATCGTGACGGGACAAAAGGATATATTCAAACGCGATCAAACTACTCCGTCCATTAGCGATACAATCGCTCGAGAGAAGGTTAAACTCGAGGGCAAATACGGAGGGTTGGAGCGAAAACAGCTGACGATTTTCAGAATGTAATAAAGCCACTTCGTACCAATGAATTTTTAATTCTGCTATTCTCGTGTATCGATTCGTGTCAATGTTATGTTAGTGTATATAAGTGTATATAGAAAGATTTATCTTAGAACGTTGAAACACTAAAAATTTTATTCTACGAGACAATCCTATGTTTCATCATCAACGAAGATCATTGAAAAAAAATCCAACGAATTATTCACTTTCGAGAAATACTCTCGAGATAAATATATTCTGAAAGGAAGAAGAATGTACTAAGAAGAGGAATTCTCCGAGGAGGACCATCCTATTTATCCTTGACAGAGGGTCGTTAATTGATCCATGAATCACTTTTCTCGAATAAAAAAATTCGACAAACACTGCTAAATTCCATTGTTATCCCTGAAAGAGACGCGAAATTATTCCGGTCGCGTGTGTTTCTCTTACGCAGTTACAACACTGAAAACGCTGTTCGTGAATAAGCTCTATCGGAAGTTGCAACAGTTGCGACTATCTACAGGAAATGTTATGTTTCGTGGCGGTTTCGCTGGGAACATCCATAAATAGAGTATTAAGAGGAAAGACTGGAATAATCTTGGAAGCTAATCGGAAGGAGACGATTGTTGTTCGAGGGAATTTGGAACGCGTGATAGGAAGTCGGAGAGATAAGAATACGAGGCTGACGAACGTATTGACGTATCGTTACGTCATTGCACGAGTATAGTTCGAACGTTAACGCGTTACCATCGAATGGGGTTGAACAAGAGAAACCGCGATATCGATTTTACCGTTTCCCTATGATCGGGGGAAAGAAGGGATGAAACGTGGGCCGCAGACCTCGCTAATCTAGATTCGAATTGTGTCGGTGGGTAGAAGTTGGAAATGAAAAAATAATGAAGATAGAAATCCAAGAATATTGAAACCGATTCGAGGGAAAGGAAAAAGAATTGATTAATTGGTATCATTGGTGTATAAAAAAATTTTATCCTCCTCTTATCGAAATTGTACTTAAAAATATTCACTTTGGAGATTAATTTTATACCCTTGTCGAGCTTTTTCCATATACGATGATTTATTATGCTTTACGTAAATTTTCATTAAATCAATACTTACAAACAGAGATATAGACATCCATGCTCAACCAATAATATTGTTTCAACGTGCGTAAACAAAATCCTCGCAAAATTCTCGACAATGCGATCGAACCTATTCGAGATGGAAAGAAACGTGTTCTCAATCCTAGTTATTCAATTCGAGAAATGTATTTTCTGGAAGCTTGCCCGGATTAAATGAAAATGACATTTCGAAATATGTATTTGGAATGTGTAAGAAATTGCTCTACACACAGCCACGGGCTCGTGGTAAGAATAAAATATCGTGATTTCGCCGCGATTTGTAATCCCTCCATTTCTTGCTCATTTTTCTATCCTTGGGAGACGCGACCACTTATACGAGACATCTATTGCTGTTTCATAGCCGCTCGAGAAGCGAGTGTGCTTGACGTGAAGAGGAACGGTTAGACAGACATCAACGGTATGGTATGACTCAAGGTTTTTACTTAATAATCGATATTTCGATTTCAGAACGTCCGAAGATAATTGCGCTCGTTACCGACACGAGAAATTTTATCGATTCTTGGTATAAAGGCTCGTTCTTAGACGTCCATTCACGACATTTAATCGTGCTCCGTGATCCCTGATTGATGATTAAATCTGGTTCACGAAGATAGAAAATAAAGTGATTCTCAATAACGCGCAAAATTTGAAATTTTTTAATTATTGGGATAAGAGGGACGAATACACCGTGCTTGAATATTTTCAAGTATTGAAAAATTATTGATTGTTCCATATTGATTTTAAATTTAAATATTTTAGGTATACTTAAAATAGAAGAAATTTTTGAAAAATTCACAGAGTACCCTAGTGACCCTGTTTAGTATTCCAAGAATGAGTTTTAAAAATTAAGAAAAGAAATTATTCGAGACGTATAAATGTACTATATTCGAATTTAGAAGTTCAATCGTCGTTTATAGTGGTGAAATAAATTTAATGACACAGAATTCTATTTTTCGACCGCGAACAAGACCGAAAGTTATCAAACGATAATGCTTGCGATATAGGTCGACCAAATGGTCGATGAATCTATAGATTATTCACTATTCTGTACAATCCAATCTTTCTTGTGATAGATATCTATGTATATTGTAATTTTTCACGTAAAAGCTTTTTGATAGATAGCTTTTGATAGTAAAAATGCTACACCGAGTATATAATTGGCTTTATACATATTATAATATTAGTTAGTCGGATAACATGTTACTAAATATCGTTAATTTAAAGATAATTCATTTTTTCTTTAATTAAACGAATATATGCAAATTTTAAAATGATTTTTTTTGAATTAAAATTGAAAATTGAAAATAAATAATTGATAAAATGAAATATATAATGATACTTACTGATGAAGACAGTGATGTGTGAACTTTACGTATGATGTATCGAATGAGAATATGAAATGTGCCCAGGAAAGCAGTGCTAGATGATTTGTCGCGGAACCAGTTTTTTACTTCTCATCGAATCATTGAAACACCTAAACATATGGAATATCATCAATAGAAAATAGAAAATAATGTTCGTGATAATATTCATGATAAAAAAAAATTATTTGTGAAATCGATAAAAGATTATATTTCTTATAAATTTTTAAATATATTTAATCCTTATGTTATTATTAATTTTGAGATAATTAAAATTAGAAAAGCAATTTCATCAAAAAAAAAATGAAGCTCATTAATAACGTGTTATAATTTATAATACGTGCAACGATATAAAATTTTATAGGATTGTTGACACATTGTTGCCATCACGGTAGTTATTGATTAACGATTTAATATAGGATCCTTGTGATTCATTTTTCAATAAGAACTAATTAATATTCATCATTTTTCAATAAGATTAATTACAATACGATTTCCATTTTTAAAAAAACGGTTATATTTCGCTACGCATTAAACTCGATTAATAATCCTATATACATTCATTGAAAGTATAAAAATATATATTATTCGATGACAGATTATTTTAATATAATTTTTATGTTTTTTGATGTTTCACAATTTCATCGATAGAATATTCAAGAAAAAAAGAATATAAATAATGAAAAATGATATAAATAATTCATAAAAGCGAGGAATACAATTATTATCCAAATATTATTACTCGAGTAAAATTTATTGCGTATGTATAGTATGAATATGTAATTCGTTCTATATCATTTCCAGAATTTTTCTTTTTGTTATTTCTTTTGTATTTGTATTGGTTTTTGTCATTGTTCTTTATGTTTCTTTTTAAACTATTTTATTATTGTATTCTACTTTTATCGTGTATATTGCAAAAACGTACAATGCATGCAATTCTTCGTTGATTCTAACCTAACGTTTTCACAAACGTCTCGAATTATTTTATAACAATTTTTTATTTTTTATTTAATTGTACTTACATATTAATTTACACGATGCAATGGAAAAATTATCTGCTTTTCAAATTCTACTTGATTATACGACACATATAAAAATTGAACAACTTTCTTTTGTCATTATTTCATATTTCACATTTCATCCACATATATTAACACACATCATATCATTTATCACACGTTCAAAGACACAACGAATTGCAAATACCGATAAATAAAGCTATTAAGTTAAAATTTGTACAAATCGAACACTTTAATAAGTATTACTTATTTCTGATGCGTAATAATAAATTGCGTCGTAATATTAATTATTACGTTGAAATGGCGCTGATATCGATCCTGCGCATGCGATCAATGCGCAAAGGGAATTATGGGTAAAATATTGCTAAATTTGTTAGTGCCCATATGAAGTGCAAGCAGTGAAAGTGCGTCGCAATTAGTGAAACTTTTTAATTGATTAGAAGCAATGGATCAAGATAATATCATTTATATCAACGATCATCACATCAGGTAATTAAATTTTAACTTTTATATTACGTATATATATAATATAAAAGATTTTTCGATAATAAAAGCGAAATACTATTCAAAAGGTTATTCCCATATAAATGTCGATATAAGTGTCGAGAAAAGACATTCAAAACTTTTAGAAATTCGATTAGAAATACATAAAATAAGATTATAAAGTAAAACTTTTATTAAGAGTACAATTAATTTTTGGTTAGATTATATATATAATAAGATTAGTATATTAAAATTTTTTAAATCAAGCATTTTCATATTGTAAATCAAACAATACTCATTATGAAGTTTTCGAATTAAATGCGTTTAATTAATCTTTCAAAATTTTTTTATTATTATATTTTCTCATCGAACTTTCTTGAAATAATTACTTGTAAATTAATTGCTTGTAAAGTTTCGTTTGAAAAAAGAAGTTGTTAAAGAATTTTTTGTGTGAACTTTTTTTTCGGTTCGTAAAATAACGACGAACCGCAGAATGGAATTTCACAGAAAATTCGTTTGGTTAATGTAACAACGTTACAAAGGGTGATCGTGTGGATAGCCTTGCACGTAAAGATTCTCATTTCTGTCGGCTCATTATTTCGTGGTTGCTAGAAACAGGTGGCCTCTTTCAAATCTATTGGATTTTTAGCACTACGTACTGTACTGTATAGATGTTATCGTTCGAAAATGTTATCGTTTGAAAATCCAATGGTCATTTTCGAAAATTTTCGGATTTCATTGTGATTTATAACAATACGCTTTATTCTATTTTACCATATATTTATTTATTTCTTTTCCAAATAGTTTTTCATATTTTATATGTTGTATAGTTAATAAAATACTTATTTTTTTTTACATTTATATTAATATATAATATTAATATATCTATATTTATACAGGGTACAACTATAAAAAAGAACGTGTCGAACAAGAGTGACTATCATCGACATATCGAACGGATACAACTATAAGCTACATACCGAACAGATGCAGTTATAAAGAGATAACATTCTACATGAAGTGGTAAGTCAAAAATTTATAAAATTTTTTTCCGTAAAATTTTTGAAACTTAAAAACAAACGAATGGCTTTGAATACTATTTAGTAATTATAAATAAATTCATCTTATATTCCAATAAAACATTATATATAACAATTTCTTATACTCGAAACTTCCAAAACATTAAAACGTACGATTACGAGCGTAACGGGTTATCTCTGAAAAAAAAAAAGATAACATTTGCGACATATATGGTGCAATGATAATATCAGAGTACGTGTTTTACGGAATACAGCCACTTAGTCTCAATTTCAAGCTCGAGCTCACCCCCGTGTACAGCTGTACATGTCCCACGGTATTATCGTTTCGTTGTGGCTCGCACGTTATGCGATAGCTTTATTTCACGTGTAGCTAGAGCCGAGATTCGATAAAAATGTAAATTCAGGCATATTTATGTCGCGAGTCGATCGCGCGAAAAATTTCAATGCGGCCCCTAGCTTTATCGGTTCTTTATCCCTATAAGTGCATATACGACGAGCACCAATTAATAAAATACTCGTATAAGGCGAGCATCAATTAGGCTTTAAAAGAGAATATCGACAAATTAATTTGTTCCTGCTTAGAAAGTCGTTAACTAAATTCTGAAGATTTTTTATTTTAATATATTTATTAATAGAATATTACTTTTTTTTTCTAAATTAACCAAATTCGGATCTTTTATCTTAAAGCATTTCTTGTTAAACTATCTATTATTTTATATATATTATTTTTTTTTCCTTCATTTAAATCAAACTTGAAAGATTTACTCTTAATAGAAAAAGTTGAATTCCACTTATGGTTAGAGAGTTAGAGATTTTTGTAAAAAAAAAAGTAGTTTTTTAGTATAAAAAAAGTATAAAAGTCCTACTACAAAAATAGAACTTAGTTAACGACTTATCTATATCTTCTATAAAAGTGTAGAATTCTTTCCAGGATTTTGAAGAAAAGAAGAAAAGAAGAGAATGATAATAGATACAAGTAAGTGAAATATAATTTTTAAGAGATGTAGATTTTATGATATTTTTGACGCGAAATGAATATTATTGATTGTAATAAAAATGTATATTAAAGATTGTAAAAAGAAAGAGGGAGTATATATAGTAACGGAAGTGAGAGCTTTCTGGGATTACTAACGATAAAGGTGGCTTCTAGTCATAGAAGGGAATTCTATTAAATGTAAAAAAGCTTTTTGAACATAGTTTCTCTTTTTATTTTTCTTTCTCTCTCTCTCTTTCTCTCTTTTTCGCCGTGAAATTATAGACTATAAATATTAAAACGGGATTGCACAACACCTCTCAGAACGTTCACCCTGTAGAAACTTTTTCTCAACTTCTTACTCTCTTTATAGTTATCGAACAAAGATATGATAATTTTAAACTTTAAAAATTTCGTGTATTTATTAGATTTTTGTTTATCATTTTTCTTTCGCGTATGCATGATGCAAGGGTAAGAGATGAAATAAGTTGTAGGATAGGGATCCAGTTTTTTGTAACTAGAAAAATAAATAAGATGTATCTATTGGATATCACATGTATGGATAAAGCTGTATGAAATATCGAGGCGTATTTTAGTAAAAAGTGAGCGAACTATTCGCTCTTGTTTTCCTGTTCCAGAGCGCGTGTCAGGTACTAAAGTATTACCAGTCCATCGATCGTGGGCAACGTCTATAGGAAAGATGCCCCGGTAAAATATAGTGAACAAACACTCTTGCTGTTTTAGGCTGATATATTTTCTTTTTCTAAAAGATCCTTTAGAAAATCTTACAACTATAAATATCAACTATAAATATCAGACAGTAAAATATAAAATTGTTTTCTATATTTATTTCAATGTATTAGAGATAAAAAAAAAATATTTAACACAAATTTCAAGATATTGATTATACAGGGAAAAAAATTTAAAAGTGTAATTTTTACAAATAAAAAATAACAGGATGAAATTTTAGTAGGTCAATTTTGGTGATAGATAATTTGCGGTGAAATATTCTATATAAAAATAAATATAAAATTAAAATAAAAAAATATAAAATGAAGTTTTTTCGTTGAAATTTTCATTTTTCTGAAAATTAACTTCACTGACACGTTCACGTTGAAGATTTAATCAAATATAGGCAATATTGTTTCTTTAAAAAAAAATATATATTTTTTTCTATATTTTTAATTTCTCGTATTCTATTATTTTCTCGTGTATAATTAGGCTTATTCGCGCGTACTTTCCAAATTTCCAAATCTTTTTTCAAAGACGAAGTTCGGAATAAAACAATTTAATTTGATTCTAATCCTTCAATTGCAAGGTATCCCGTATAATAGTCTCGTTTACATACATACATCGATATTAAATCAATTTTGGATATCTATAATTCAATGAACGATAATATTAAATTATAGTTGGAACTGGCGGTAATGGTTTTTGTTAAAACCTTGCCTTGTAGTATCGGTGAAAATCGGCGGCATGATTCGATTGGCCTCGAGTCGAGTTTAGCGCAAGTACGGTATTCAAAAGGAGACATAAACCAGCATGGAGTTGTCTCGCCGTATGGTATCGATCCCATCCAATTCTGGAAGGTCAGAAGTGGGATACATCGTTATTAATTGCACATCAGATCGTGCAACACGGTACTAATCTAGATAATTGCGTTGTACCTTGTGGATCGAACGTTCGACTGTTTCAATAAATCGCAACTAGTTTAATTATCGAATCAAAACATGGAAATATCGAACGGAATGTTTTCCATGTCTGAATAATTGAAAAAGTTGGAATCAATTTTCCCTGTGTACGATTTTTCTCTGTTCTTCCAACATCGTGATTTCTAGAAATGTTATTTTACATAATTGCGAATTCTTGCGTGTAATCGATGCATAAATTAGCGTAGATTAAAATATATCTTTAATTCCAGTTCACGAAGTATAATAGAACATTTATCATCTTAGACAAATAATTCTTACGCGAATAATTTAATCTCGAAAATAATTAATTTTCTTTTCGTCAAATATCTCTCAAATAAACTCAAAATAAATTGTCCCGTCGTTTATCTTCCATTTTGAGGAACGAATAAATTTAACATCGGTTAAGTATCTTTTTTATAATATGAATTCCGCGAGATTTTTAAAAAAGAAGAAAAATTTCTATCAAGAAGAGCACACGAGGAGGGGAAAAATAAAGGAATTTTCGTGTGTAATTAACGGAGAAACAGACATACAAACGAATGTATCTTTAAAACATGGTGTCTCGGTGTTTTTAATAGAAAAATATCTCCATGTTCCATGGAAACACTTTAAGCAACGAATCGTTGGCAAAGAGCAGACAAATGCAAACGTTGCGTGAAACGTGAATCACGCGACACGCCACCGCAATAAGTAAAATCTTACATCGGTTTTCTCCGTTTAAATGGAATTTTTATGCGAATTCTTTTTTTCTTTTTCGGACGATTAAATTGTTGGATCGTTAATTAAGCACCCGATCGTTTAATTATTCGTGCACGCGAAATTATTATCCCGTTTCGTTCCAATTTTTTCGTTCTCTGATCATCTTATCAGGAATATAAAAAGTAGGTGAAGTTTTTAGAGAAAAATAAAAGTTAGTCAGTTTCTCTTCTTAAAATTTCGAGAGAACTTCTCTTATTGAGAAATCTCGAGTGATTCACTCGAGTCCTTGTTTTACTCCGCGCCATTCTCTTCACGCTTAGAAAGTTTTTGGTTCGTTTGAAGAGAAATTTCTATTTTAGAAATCCTTTTGGAAATTCTTTGGATAGATTCTTCCACTTGGATATTTTCCCGATTCAGATTCGAGAAGTACGTATCAAACTTTTCTCGTGTGAAATTTCTTCTTTCTTGAGGGGATATTAAAGGGGGCGATATTTATCACGATCGTAAATAAAAAGTGATACGCGTGCAATAAATTTCATACGGAGGTCGATGGCGTCAACGTGGGTGATTGTTAGATGCACGTAAGGCAGGTTCGATGGATAATTTCGTGTAACTTGGCACGATAGACGTAAGACGTGAATTACTTTCACGTTTGGAAGACGGTTTCGGATAGCGATAGAATCAAGTTCAAAAACGTGCTTCTAAAAATATCTAAAAAAAAAAAAAAAGATTAATCTCGAATAAATGGAGAATTTTCTTCGAACTTGTTCAATTACTTTCTGCCAATCTTTCGCACTCGAATTCTACTTGAAATTATTTCTTCTTTTCATTAATTTTATCGAAATAATTCTTCAAAGTTTCATTTGACAATTAATAATGACAATAAAATTTCAATTTTATTTACAAAATTAGCTCCTTCAAATTCTGT